AAAAAAAAAAAAAAGACCGAGTTTACTGGTCAGAAAGAAACTGGAAGAACCTGGGATTATGGCCCTCGACTACCCTTTAGGTCTAGAAAGGAACTCACCCCTTGTGGCCCAATTTTCAGCCACACTGACTGGTGGGGGACAACAACACTAGTAAGGTATGTTCACCATTCAAACCCAAAAGGGGAACATTTACCTAAGGAGAAAGTTGGGAAGGGATGAGAAGGTGGGTGGAAGGGAAATAGGAGCCACAGGAAGAAGAAAGCTAGGTAACTGTGGTTCCGTGGAGGGGAATGCAATCATTGAGATAAAACAAAGTATATATAGTTTGTTAAAAGTAAATCTGATGATCTTCTCTATAAACCTTCACTCAATTCACAATAAAAAGTTAAAAAACAAAAAAGATGAACCAATAAACTATATTAGATGCAAAAAAAGGATAAATAATTATAGATGCAACACATTTAAAAAAGTAACAATAGGATTTTGCTTTCAGTTCCACATTGATAAGTTAGAAAATTAAAATAAAGGGATGGTTTACTAGAGAAATAAAAATTACCATACAAGAAGCAAATATGTGCGTTTAATTACTTCAAGATAAAGTAACGACTTAAATGTGAAAGTGACATTTTCAAAGATTGAGAAGAAAATATATTTAGAAGAAACCATGACCTTTGGTATTGGGAAATATTTTCAAAATAGATAAAAAAATTAACGTGAACGATGAAAGATACTTCATGAATTTAAATTAACTTTAAAACTAGCCATTTCTGTTCCTGAAAAGGTACCATAAAGATAGTAAAAATATAAGCCAGAATCCTATAGAAGGTATCAATATTGTGTATGTTGTTAGGTACTGTTGAGTCGGCACCAACTCATAGTTACCCTATGTACAACAGAATGGAATATTACCTGGTTCTATGCCAAATTCACATTGTTACTATGCTTGAGTCCATTGCTGCTGCTGCTGCTGCTGCCACTGTGCCAATCCATCTTCTTTGGTGTCTTCCTCTTTTACTCCAACCTCCACTTTACTAAATATGATAACCCTTTCCAGGTACTCGTCCTTCCTGATAGTATATCCAAAGTATGAGAGATGAAGGCTGGTTATCTAGCTTCTAAGGAGCTTCTGGCCGTGCTGCTTCTAACACAGATCTGTTTGTTCTTTTGGTGGTCCATGGTACTTTTAATATTCTCCTCCAACACCATAACTCAAATGCATCAGTTCTTCTATGGTCTTTTTTTATTCACTGCCCAACTTTCACATGCATATGAGGTTTTTGAAAATACCATGGCTTGGGTCAGGTGTACCAAAGTCCTCAAGCTGACATCTTTGCTCTTCAATACTTTTAAAAAGTCTTATGCAGCAGATTTGCCTAATGCAATACATCGTTTAATTTCTTGACTGCTGCTTCCATGAATGTTGATAGATGAACCAAGAAGAATGAAGCCTTGACAACTGCAATCTTTTCTCCATTGATAAAAATGTTGTTTATTGGTCCAGTGGTGA